GGCGGCCGTAAGGGAGAAGCTGCGGAGGGTGCTTTCTCTGAGGGGCGGCCTGGTGGTATTCTCCGGGATTGGCTTACAAAAACAAAAAAACCACAACAACAAAACAATCAAAAAAAAAAGGTGAGAAACGCCTAAAATGCCCCCAGAATAAAAGAGGAAGGAGTCAATGTCGCCGGGTGGTTGGCCCTGAAGGGAGCCTGGCGTTTCCTCCCTCCCTAAGGGAACCTCGAGCGCCTTGGGGGCTGTGGGGGTACCCAGGGAGCAGGGAGCAAGGGGCTCCCTTGGCCACGGGGCTGTGGAGCAGCTCAGTGCCAGCCCGGTCCTGATCTCCCTGGCATTATAACCTGTTCAGTCTTGCAGAACTGCAGCATCTTGATGGAGCCCATCAGGGTGAAGTTGTCCCTGCTGCTCAATGCCCTCCAGACTGGGGGTGCAGTGACCCGTGAGCTGGCCACCTTGCTGGTCTGAAGCCGGCCGTGGCTCAGCATCTTTGCTGTGCGACTTGTGAGACTTCACAGGGAAAAGCTCCATCCCGGCATTGGCTCTTGTTCCTTTTGACATCCATAGTGTGCTGGCATCTCTGACCTGGTTGCTGGCTTTGGTTTGGTACTGGGGGATGGACCCCCCTATGCAGCAGGGGTGAGGTGACAGGAGGCATTCGGTGTCCCCTGCTCTCAGTGAGGAGAATCACCAACGCTGTGGTGACCTCCCTTGCCTTGTGCTGCCATGAGCAGTTGTGAGAGGGACTGGGAAGATTTTGGTGGTGCTTGTTTGGCAAACCAAGTCACTGCACAAATTCTCCGCTGAGGGTGGAGGTGTGGGTAGTGAAGGGTTTCAGTGCCTTTCCTTGTTTCTGGCAGTCTCCTGCACAAGAATCCTGCGGTGTTGGAGGCTGTTGGTGTTTGCCCTTGGAGCTTTGGCCAACTGCACCAGTGTTTGCTCCGGACAGTAACCAGCAGGCAGGAGGGGGAGTTAAAATACTGGTTTGTGCCTACCCAAGCTGAATCCCTCCCCAGCCAGCCCCACTGGCCTCAGATTCTTGGGTTCAGTGCCTGCTGTTCAGATGCTGCAGGTTCTAGAGTTTATTTCCTAAGCTCTGTGAGCTGAGGCTGGTCACGTTGTCCCCTCTGAGGGCCGACACCCCGGCCTTTGCCTGCCTCACCCAGTCTTTTCCCAACTTGGTGTCTCTGGCAGAAAGCTCTCCAGGAACCTTCTCCTCTCTGCAGTTTCTTAACCCTGATGTTTTTGCTGAGCTGGACGCAACTCTTGCCCTCCCTGAAGGGAACACACAAACCTGCCTGCTGCTGGGAATGGGACTGGCCCGGCTGAGCTTTGCCTGCTGCCAGCACGAAGCTGGAGCTGCCTCAGGAGCTTACCCTGAGGTAAGCTCTCCATCACCACAGGCCTGGTGCTGCCCTGTGTCCTTGGGCCGTGCTGGCTCAGCAGCAGGCTGGTGGCTTAGCAGCAGAAAACAAGGCAGATTTGGGGAGATGGGGGTAGATTCTGCCCTGTGTGAGCTTGTGAGGGTGAAACTCTCATGTTGGTCTGGGCAAAACAAAGCAGTGGGATCCCCTGTTTTGAAAATAACATGGGAAAGCATAACCCTGGCCCTTGCAAGGGGAAGATGCTGGTACCTCTGGCCGGCTCCAGGGCACGGTGATGGGCTTGAACTTCTCATGACCTTTCTTCACTGAAGAAATGAAAGAAGTAGCAGGTGGCTTGTTGCTTTGCAGTAGAGGCAGCCTCCCAAAACAGGCGAATGCCAGCTACCACGGGTTTTCACACAAATAAAGCATCCCTTTGCTGAAATTGGAGCCTGTGAAGCTAAAGCAGCTTATCAGGTGCTTAGTGTTGTTGTTGAAGCAACTGTCATAACTAATGCGTGGCTCTTCTGCGTGTCCCAGTGGCTTTGCTTGTCTGACTGCCCTTGAGCAGTAGCAAAACACTCTGTGGGAAGCAGGGGAGTTGGGCTGCTGAGGCAGAGCTGCCCAGCTGCTGGCCTTCAGGTGGCTTGGCAGCACGTAGCCATTGTACGGCAGCCAGCACAGAAGCGTTTGGGTCAAGCACAAATATAACTGGAGCTGGACCTCATCTGTCTGCTGATGTGGGCATGCAGGGATCCAACCTTGAGTCCTCTCTAGAGCTGGTTCTTCTGACACGAGGTCTGCTTCCCTGTTAGGCTTTCTCTGGGAGACCTAGGGAGGTTCTGCGTGCTCCTGTGATGGTCAGGGTGCCCTAAATCAGGCTTCTGAGGTGGCAAGTGTTGGGTTGTGGGCTGCAAAGGAGGCTGCGACTCTTCCGTAGCGGCAGATGAAGAAGGAAGAACAGGGTGTAGTGTTTGTGCAGTCTTAGAAATGAAGTTTAAGGCAAACTGAGAACCTGGTCATGGTAGAAAAATATATAATCTCCAGCTTTCAAGCGCAGAAAAGAACTTGTAAGGAAAACTTCATAGCCCACTTTACCTTGTCCGTGTAGGGTGGGGTTTTCTTCACCAGTTTGAAGAGCTCCTGCAGAAGCAGGATCTGAATGTGACCTGCTACGAATGTCCTGAACTTAGGTCACTGGTGGGAGCAGCAGCTCTCTTGTTGGCTTGGCTACTGGCTGGAGGAGGTCCTTGGGGTGGGATAACTCTTGTTGGACTGGCACCGGCTGGAGGAGTCTGTGGGGGTCTGGGTGTGATGTTTGGCATGGGTCTCTCTGCTCCCTACTCTCCATCACGAGCAGATGTAGTTCCTGCCTGTAACTGGAGTGATCCCAGCTTTCTCCTGCAGCAAAAAATCCTAAAATACAGGAGGACTTGCCATCAAACAGCACTGATGTTTTATGTCCCCAAAGAGTTGAGCCCACCTGGAAGAGAAGCTGCATTAGCTCCGCTTTGCTCCTTCAGGAGCAGCTGGAAGGGATGATGTTCCCTCGCCAGGGAGCCTGTCGGTTCGGAGTCACTGCTAATAGTGCTCTATTGAGTGGCTGTCAAAGACCTGCTCTGTTCTCTGCGAAGACGTTGAAGAAGAGCGCTTGCTGTCCAATTCCTGCTTGAAATAACTTGTGCTCGCTTGTCTGCCTGCAAAATGAGGGATGAGTCGGGAGGCTGGCGTCCGTAGCCCTTACCTGCAGCAGGAACAGCTCTACCTTCTGGTGTGGGAGACTGCTTGGTGGACAAGCTCGCGGGTGGGCTTTCACCTTGTCCCCACGCCAGCTCCCAGCAGCCAGGACAGTCACCCCTGGCCAAGCTGAATGCCCAAGGGGCTGTTTACTGTAGCAGGATTGGCTCTGTTGTAATTCCCAGCCCTGGGTCTTGGGGCTGGCTTTTCCTGTCTGAGCTGTACGTGGGGAGCGGGAGCTTTGGGCTGCGAAGCACGGTGTGCAAGGCTTTGCGAAATGCCAAGAGCCATGCCCAGCTTTAGTCCAGCCACAGCGGCCGTGTCTCTGCTGCGGTGTTAAGGTGGTGATAAGGCTCCCGTGGTTCCTGGCGTCTTGCTTTCGGGCAAGCAAATTGCCGTGGGTCTCTGCCACCATCAGTGACAGCTTGGCTTGCCCAGGGGATCTCCTGTGGGCCGCGTGCGAGGCTCCCTAGTGCTGCTTGCCTGCCTCAGTGTGGCATTAGTGCTGGCATGCAAGTCGCTACCTGGAAATGGCGTGGCCAGGCGTGGTTTGGGTGTCATGAACAAGAGCACTTGTGTGTGCTTGACTGTGCTGCTCCTGACACCTGCAGCTGAAGTACTTGGGACTGTGATGCATGGGCTTGGGGCTGGCACAACCCAATGACCTCCATTCTGCTAAAAATCAGGGTTGAAACTGGCTCTGAAGCTTCATGTGACACTGCATGTCCTTAACCTTCGTGCAGCCCTGCCAGCAGAGATCGTAGTGCTCAAGGATGGGTGGAAGGGAAGCTCTGGTGTCCTCTGCTCACACAAGATTTGTAGTAGTGACCCTGTGTGGCAGCAGCTAAAAATTTGAGCTCTTTGGTCCTCCAGCCTCTATTCCTCCATCCAAACAAGCTCTTCTTTATGTGGTTTTAATTCTTTTACAGAGCAAGCTCACGGCACCGAAAAGGGAATCTCTTCTTCCTGTAAGCAGCACCTCCAAAGAGAATGGGATTCGTGCAGAGCAAGATGATCAGGACTTATTTGCTGGTGAGTCTGTATCTGATGGGGCTTTCTGAACTGATCTGCTTGTAAGCACAATGTGCAGGTCGTGGATATTTCTGAACTATCCCAGGCCCTTATCTCAAATTTGTATTCTAGTCTGCTCTGGAAGCGCTGAGCTCTGGTGAAGGTTTTGGGAAGATTGGCATAGCTTTCTCCAGGTCTCTAGTGTAATCGTGGGGCAGGATTAACTGTTTGGGAGCTGAAGAGGCTTAAAAATGGATGTCCCAGTTTTCCTGGGATTGAATCATGGAATTTGCTTTTCTCTCAGAAATGCAGCTCTGCTGAACAGAAAATAGGATTCTGCCATTTAATCCCAGCAAAACCAGGACAATTGGGTTTACTTTAATTTTGTTGCCTTAAACTGTAGGGTGATGAGTGTCTTCCTAGAGTTTAAAGACTTTAGTTCTCTACCTTTTCCTCCCTCCATGCAGGTGGAGGAAGCATCTCTAGTCAAAACGTGGTTGTTCCTGAGGAACAGGGAACATAACACCCCTCAGCAGGGGAAAATGAGGAGGGTGAGACCTTCCCCAGCCCTGGCATGGAGGGACACCTCTGGCAGTGGCATCTGAGCATCAGTTCTAGAGACATCTGCTAACAGATGAAAGGTTTTACTTTCTCTGGGTGGAGAAGTGTCCTGGGAAGGTGCTTCCTTCCAGGCTGTGTGAAAATCCAGCTCAGCCTTAGCTGTTCCAGCATGCAGCTCCTCTGCGCACAGCAACGAAGTGATGCCTGGCTCCTTCTCAGATAAGAAGTTCATTGGATTAACTTCATGTTCTCCAGCAGGATTGATCAAATGCTCTCACTGCAGCGAAGATGCATTAAGTCATGCACTTCCCAGTGCTTACAGGTGTCCTTCCTATTGATCTGGTGGTTTTTTGGTTTTTTTTTGCTAATTAAAACTATTGTTACTCCCTAAATCCCGTGAACCAATCTGGGAATATTGAAATCCCCTTTCCAGCAACCCAAAGTAGAGAGGCTGACTCTTGCAAACTTCTCTCAACAGATGCCACCGTGGAGTTGTCTCTAGACAGCACGCAGAACAACCAGAAGAAGGAACTGGCCAAAGCATCCAATCCTGCCCCCTCGTTAGAAGTAGCTGCCAGCTCTTCTAGAAACCCTCCAAAGAGCTATGAGGAGGTGAGGATTGCTCTGAGCTTTCTGACTTGCCCTGCTGGTTTGGGATTGTAACTGGCAGGAACCTGTCTGTTTACTTAGTTGTGAACGTACACCTGAAATGATGCAATTAGTGGAATTGCTGTATTGGATGCCTTGGCTTGTATCTCGGGCCATCAGTCTTGGGCCTGATGGTGCTGAAGGGGGGTCACGTTCTTGCCCGTGTGGTGGTGCAGACTGCTTCCAGAGCTGAAACGGCAAGTGGCTGATGCTGTCCTGAGAGTCTGAGCTCTGACTTGCAGCTCTAGCATGCTGTACTGCTGCAGATGGGGCAAGGGGTCTAACTGCTCTCGTGCATGTTTTTAAAAGAAACAGTCCTGTGGGTGACATGAGAGTGCAGTCCTTCAGTGGAGCTCATGGTCTGGCTGCCAAGCCCAGTTATTTGGGTGGTGCTTGGCCTAAATCTGGGTTTTCTCCTGTAGAGAGACTGAAACTATTTTATCGATGAGGAATGTGCTCCCTTTTCTGCCCCAAGCACCTCTGAGCTCACAAGGACTGACCCTGCAGTGCAGGAGTAGGTCTCAGGTTGGCTTCAGCCTGACTTCAGTGAAGGAGCAGTGCAGAGCTAGGCCAGGGTGGGAGCTGATCAGCAAACCAATAAGCTGTCACCTTCAGGTTCGTGGACCAGAGGCCATTTGAGGCTGGTCTCACCTCTGCGTTGCCCAGTCCTTTAACACCACATTTCAGATGAGAACTGAAATCATGATGTAAAAGACCCCAAAGGGAACTATCCTGTAGAGAGCTGAGGCTGGGCTCTGCAGAGTTTCACACTGGGACTAAGCAAGTTGTGCCTCAGGCTGTGCAGGTAGCAGTGTCTATAGACAAATCCAATTGGGATTTGTAGCCTGGACACAAGAGAGAGGCTTGAGGGCTTTACAGAATGGCCTTGGCAGTGTCACAAGCTCAGCGTCACATATGGGACTGCATGGTTTGGAGTTATTTAAATCCTGAATTTCTAGTTTTAACTTGCTGTCCTCATGCTTACTCCAAACAGCTAGAAGAAGAGGAACAGGAGGACAAATTTGAGCTGACTGTAGGAGTCAGTGACCCGGAGAAAATTGGTGAGTTCATACCTTGTCTTGCTGCGTGGTGAAGCACAGTTAGGCACTGAGGTTTGGCAGTAGGGCCGTACACAGCTATTGCCTCTGTGTGCCACAGCTCTAGCTTTCAAGCTCTCTCTGCAAGTGCAAATTTGATCCTGGAGTAAATTTTTTAAGACTTCTTCCAACATCTAGAAGAAATGAAGCTACGCAAAGCAAAATGTTTGGGTTGCAAACGAGCAAGGCAGAAGCAGGTTCTGGGAAGCCTCAAGGGAACTGCGATTTTTGGGAGTGTGAAATGTGATGCATGGTTCCTGGAAGTGTGGTGACCAACTTGACTTTGACCTCCAGGCAGCACCCTCCTGTGCGCAGGTGGCAGGAGGGAGGCAAAACTGCCTTAGCCTAAAACTAAGTGTGCTCTGACAGCTGTGCTTGCCAGGGAAACAGCTCTGGCTTCAAGCTGAGAAGCTCTGTACCGCAGGGTCTTCAAACTGAGAAGCCATAGGATTTCTCTCTATTGAAAGTGGGGGTCCGAGGAGCTTGGCCAGCTGCATGGCAGACCCTGGGGTGCAGAGAACCCCAAGTAACATCTCATCCCAGCCGGCAGAGCAGCCTCTGTGTAACATCTCACCCCAGCCGGCAGAGCAGCCTCTGTGGCTTGTGATCTCTGGAGCTGGGAGGTGCAAATTAGAGGTGTATTGAGGGTGGCATCAGACCTCTGAGCATGCCCTTCAGCTGAACTACCAGGTAAAACCTTCCTTTTGCCAAACAAGGGGATTTCTATGTTAGCCAGAGAAAACTGCCTGTGATGTTTCTGAACCCAACCATGTGCAGCCAGGGGCCGTCTGACTTGTGGCCTCTGAATAGATCACTTCATGTGCCCTACAGCCGCTGAATTGTTGTGTGCTGAGCAGATGTGTGGAGTCGGCCCAAAGGCTGTTGGTGCAACAAGCACCCGATTGTGGATGTTGGCTGCCTTGGGAAGTAGAAGAAGGGCTGAGCACTCAGGTCATGGAAATGCTGAGTGGACAGAGGTCCGGGTCCCACAGTGAGGTGCTGCCTGCAGTTCTGTGCAAAGATTCAGGGCTCCATCGGATCAAAGATTGGGATTGCTGAAGCAGGGAAAGGCTGGGAGACTGCGGGAGCCTTCTGCTTTGCATTCAGGTGGCAGCGGAATGTGCTGATGTTGTGATAATAACTCCTTTCTGTTTTCCCTAGGGGATGGTATGAATGCCTATGTAGCCTACAAAGTGTCAACACAGGTATGTCCAGCTCGTCACTCTGAGATGGGCTGCCATTGTTTTTCCACGCTTGAAGGCAGCTGGACTGTCCTTCCTTAGCCATGCCAGTGGTGACCTAAATAGAGAGGAGATCTGGATGCCTTGTTACATGGATGTAATATAATGGATATAATCCACTGCTACAGATCAAAGGATGAGCCTAGCTGAGAAATAGGTTTTGAACCTGTTTGAAAGGAGGCTGTATTTATTTTGTTCCAGCCAGTTCCCTGTTTTCAATCCTGGCTGATGCTAGCGCTCAGCCTTGGGTGAGCAGCGGGAATGACATCTGTTAGGGAGAGCCCTAGACACCAGGGCTGTTGCTAATGGTTCTGTGCCGACAGTTGCATCAGATTAAGCTGACCTGAACTCTGCTCTTGCTGAGGAGCTGCTGCTGTAGCTCATTTCATGTCAGGACCTGCTTTCTGGGACTAGTCGCAAGAAATCGAGCCTTTTGCGGCTGCTGGCCTGCTTGGAGGTTTGTGGTGCTGGTCTGAGCTCTGCAAAAAGTTGTTCCTAGCTGTCTGTGCAGTGGCTGATGGCCTACGAGCGATGCCAATGGTGTGTGCAGGAGACTGGTTAGCCTCCACTCCTCCTCTGCAAACACAGTCAAAAGCCACTGATGGCCCCCATAGTCTTAAGATGATAAAGTCTGACCTCCCAGCGGTCCCTGTTCCTGTGGGGAGCAGGGATGAGGGGATTAGGCAATGGGCAGGGCTTACCAAGCTGCCTGTGGCCGCAGTAACAGCTGCTCGGTTATTTAGCGGCATTAATACTGCTACTGGGTCCAAGGAGAGCTGTTAGGAGGTAAGTTACTGAAAACCTCGGCCAAAGCTTGCTCTGTTGAGCCTCGCCTGCCTCCCAGATCTTGCAGAGCTCAGGCTGGCCTCCTTCGTCCCCAGAGGTGACGGCAGGCGGAGTCAGCGAGGCTGTGTGTGCGGGGGCGAGCTGCCCTGCGCCAGTCTGACCCGCGTCTCATCTCTTCCCCCAGACGAGCATGCCCATGTTCAGGAGCAAGCAGTTCTCAGTGAAAAGGAGGTTCAGTGACTTTCTGGGTCTCTATGAGAAGTTGTCGGAGAAGCATGCCCAAAATGGGTTCATCGTTCCTCCACCGCCTGAGAAGAGTCTCATAGGTGAGTGGTGGAGGTGCAGAGCGCTGGAGCCATTCCTTCAGACTTTGTGCCTGAAGGACAGGCCTGCCTGCAGCCTCAGAGCAGAGGGAGAAGGCTGTGGAGCTGCCTCAGGAAGCAGGTGTGGAAAATAATCTGGGTTCTGTGGCACAGACAAAACTCTGGCTCCATACTTGGAGCTCTGGGCTTAAAGCCATGTTTGAATTTGCAAATGCCTCTGTATTTGCGTGATGTAGAGTGAAACCTCTGCACTCTTACTTGAATCCAGCCCTGTAACCCTTCCAGCCTTGCCTGGTACTGCTCTGCCTCTTTTCTGGATGTCATCTTCTGCTAGAAGTTAGGCATAAGCAGATATTAAATTTCCAAGTAACTCTTGCTGATGGAAGGTCTAATTCCTGTTGTAAAATGCCTTTCCTCTACTGTTGCCCCGATAGTCTGTAACGAACCGCAGTACCTTATGTGTTGAGTTTGAAGCAGCTCCCTGATTGCGCCTTCCTTCTGTGCCAGGGATGACCAAAGTGAAAGTTGGGAAAGAAGATTCCTCCTCTGCAGAGTTCTTGGAAAAAAGACGGGCTGCTCTAGAGAGGTACGGACCCCGAGAGCTGTCCCCCTGTGCCTGAACCAAGCAGGGGACGTCTGAAGGCTCAGACTGGCTGCACTCTCCTCCCTACATGAGAAAAGTTGTCTGCTTCTGGGTTTGCAGCAAACCTGGAGGCTGCTGAAGGGTTGCAACTGCAGAGAGTCACTTTGACTCTGTAAAAACAATCTTCTGCTTCAAAAGCCTCTGCTTGTGTTTGGTCCAAACCTTGCCAGACTCCACTGATAAGGCAGCTCTGTCAGGACCCCAAAAATACGGATGGTAGGTAATTGTACAAACAGTGCAAATCAGGTGAGAAACAGCTTGATCTTTAACTTGCATCCTAACTACACAGGCAAGGGTGGCCTTTGCTCTGCCACCTGTGTTGGCTGTCGTCGTTACCACTGGGATGCTGTTCCCCTCCAGCTTCAGCCTCTGAAAGATCTGTTAAGGCATCTTCGCTAAAGATGTCTCACTAAATCTCGGTCACTTGGCATATCGAGTAACTTTCTTGCTATAGCAAGTATGAATCAAAGGTCTGGCAGGTCTGGTCTCACTGGGGTCTGCAGGGAGGTAGGACTCTTGGTGGGTGAATGGGAGCAGTTTGTAGGGCCTGACTTCCAGTTACCAAACTGACATTTCAGAGTAAATAACAAGCGTGTTACAGCCCACTGAGAGCTCAGAGCCAGGTTTGCTACACCTGAAGTAACTCTTGGTGCGTTCGTCTCCACAGGTACCTACGGAGAGTGGTCAGCCATCCAACAATGCTGCAGGACCCTGACGTCAGGGAGTTCTTGGAAAAGGAGGAGGTCAGTAGTGTGGAATAACATAGCTGCAAGTACCTTGGAAGTACAAAGGGAAACGGTACCCAAGCGGTTAATGAGACGTGACACTTCAACGCTTGGCAAGAAACAGCAGAGCCCTGTAAGAGCTCAACCAGTGATGACGAAGACAGGCCTCTCTTCTGTGTGTCAGGGCTTGTCTAAGCACTGTACACTTGTAATGAGCTCACCCAGCTTGCTTACACCGTGCTGAGGGCACACGTTGAGCACACAGGTAGTCTTTGCTCTTGAAATCCATGACGGGAACTTAGCCCACTGTTTGGAGATGAGGGTGGTCCCATGCTGGCTTGGCCTGACCCTCAGATGTGAAGGAGGAGCTGGCTGATATGGTCTCCTTCCAAGGAGAGTGTGACCATGGCCAACTATGCACCTGATGTGGAGAAGTCATTCTTGAAGAGACTGAACCCTGGGTTTTCCTGGCTAACTGGGGAGGTCCCAGTTGACTGGAGGCTTGCAAATGTGATGGGCCAGAAGAAAGACCCAGGGGACTACAGAGCTGTCAGTGTGACCTCAGTGCCAGGGAGGAGGACCAAATCATCGTGAGTGCATCACAGGGCACATGCAGGACAACCAAGCGATCAGGCCCACTCAGCATGGGTTCAGGAAGGGCAGGTCCTGCTTGACTGATCTTATCTCCTTTTATGACGAGGTGACCTGCTTGGTGGACGAGGGGAAGGCTGTGGACGTTGTCTACCTGAATGTTAGTGAGGCCTTGGACACCGTCTCCCACAG